TGTATACCTTCTTAAAATGAAGATGTGTACGAAGAGTCTACTGAAAGGCTCAGCAATTTAGCCGTCACGTTTACGGCAAATACAGAGCTGAACCAATGACCTGAAGAATTTCGTGCCTGAGCCTGACCTTGTGCTTTTGGTAGTCATTTGAAAGAGCGACTTTTCACGATTATGGAAACCCCAAAATGACCCACTCTCCCGTCGAAACTGTAACGGTAAACCCCCAAAACGCTGGTCACGTAATCTTTTCTGACGTTTGCTGTTTGCCTGAACGTGCAAATTAAATCATAATTGATCCCAGTCATCCCCCTCACAAAAATCCTGGAACCGCCCCTGAATTTATAGCTATCGGCAACCTGTGCCACTGGTAGAGTGCCTTATGTTAACCTGTGCCACTGGTAGAGTGCCTTATGTTAACCTGTGCCACTGGTAGAGTGCCTTATGTTAACCTGTGCCACTGGTAGAGTGCCTTATGTTAACCTGTGCCACTGGTAGTGTGCCTTATGTTAACCGTTTGGGACTATATTGATTAGAAAGCTCGGTTACATTCATTTTAATTTATGACCACACATCATGAATATCAAGTGTCCACAGTTCATGTATTCTGGTCAACTATTAAAGTCAAAACCTTTAAGCCGCGGCTACACGAGTGCCGGTTTTTTGCTTGCGCAKGCGCCGCGATTTTCTCAAAATCACAAGCGCACGATGTGGCTACACGAGCGACAATGATGTATCGATCAAAAAATCCTCAACAATACTTATTTGAATCTCAATAAAGAGGTATATGTACAAAAACAGCTAAAAATTCGATGTTCATCTTTCATCGTACCCGACAATCGCGTCGCCTGCGCAAGCGAAAAGTCGCTCGTATAGCCGCGGCTTTAGAGATGAGCAAAGAAAATTCTTGCACACAAAAGTTACCGGTATAGTCTGAATTGAAGCATGGAATTATCATTTCACTGATTATTTCACATTGATGAAGATGAAAGAACTTCGACATCATTCAGTCTTGCAAGGAGAAACATAATCAAAGGCCTCTAAGATTATATGAATCATATATACCACTGAGGAAACAGCAAACCGTAAAAAGTATGAAAAATAACTTACTGGCGCTTCCACGTTAGTCTTTCGTCAGAGTAAAGTAGTAAACCGCTGAGCTAAGTGTTTATATAATGAAATGAGGAAAAAGTAGAGTAATAGGAGCAAGGTAGRCATGGTAACGAGAAATAAACAAACGTAGCTCCCACTAGTTTTACCGCTAATTCCTACATTTTTATCTCATACATTTTTTCAATTAACATACTATTTGTTCTATTTCAAGATGTTCAGTTGATGAATACTCTTACACTGTGGGGATGTTAGCACCTGCGGTAAGTATTGTAAATCACTAGTTTTGCTGCAAAATGTGCCAGTCATTTTTCCATGGGACCATTTGCCCAGGAAGTGGAATAACTTCTAGACCCAAACACTCATTGTGGTACACAAAGCGTTAAACTAATCATTAATAATTATTTATAATACACGATACATAGAAATAATTATGTCTAAATGAGTCGTCAATGGCATCAAAATTTCTTCGTATCATTTTTTAGATGCTAATCATCGTTGTGTTGAGTTTCATGAAGAAAAGAGTGCGATTAAGACCTGACCTGTTGAATGGTCGACCTGGACTACCCATGTAAGGATGATACCAGATTTTGGTGATGGTTAAAGTGTACATGAGGTGCATTCCTAATACGTCGTTCTTTATTACAGACCAGTCAACTTCTTGGGAAAAGAAAGGAACAGGTTGATTATTGTACTTGCTTTTGGTGCTACAACATCTTCATTATTGGAGATGTTTCTTTATTCGACCTTACTTGGTATCAACATCACTGCTACCAGGAATATTCCAGATACATCATACGGAAAAGGTATGATACAGTGCTACAATGTTTCGTGATATATTGTTTTA